GTGCGCGGGAGCGGTGTTTGGATCCGTCGCGTGCATCGCTGTGAATCGCTACTGGGATTCCTTTTCCGATCCGAAATCAAGGTGTGTACGCGGTTTTTCTGGACTGGTCGGATGATTTTGGCAGAGAATGGATTTTCTTTCGGCGAGAGACGAAGGTTACAGTAGCATTGGACACAAGCAAAGGTATGTCATCCTTCTTTAGCTCTTTTTTCTCTTCACAGAAGAACTTTCATTGCGCAGTCGATGACATTCTTCCTGATTTAAGTGATGAGATTCTAGTCGAGCAATTTACACGGTATGTTCCACGCTGCTTTTTTTTTTTTTCCCATTGTTTGGGACTAGGAAGGAACTTCTCTCTCGTCCAGGAATGTCCAATTTTTTGGCTTGGAAGGACAGAAAAGAGTCCAAGCTTCGTTCGTGATCGTCGTTGGACTTGGAGGAGTGGGCAGCCATGCCGCCGCGATGCTCCTCCGGTCTGGAGTTGGAAAACTTCGCTTGATCGATTTTGATCAGGTTGGTTTCCTTCCATCGTTTTTTTGGTTTTTCCTCCTTTCATTCAGTGTGAGAATGCTTTGTTACTCGCGCAGGTCTCTTTGTCTTCGCTTAATCGCCATGCTGTGGCGACGAGAGACGATGTTGGGACTCCTAAAGCAGTTTGTCTAAAGGAACATTTTTCTCGCATTTATCCTGAATGCGTTATTGAGGCTTGCAGCGAGCTTTTTGACGAGTCGTCGGCGGAGGATTTACTTTCGGGGTCACCAGATTTTGTTTTAGACTGCATTGACAACATCGACACTAAGGTGAGATGTTTCTACTCTAACTTTGCAACTTATATCATGAGTTCGTGGCGCAGGTTTTTTTGATCGCTACGTGTAAGAAAAAATCGCTTCGAGTTTTGTCCGCGACGGGTGCTGGGGCCAGAGCTGACCCGACTCGTGTTCGTATTGCGGACATTTGTGAATCATCGATCGATCCTCTTTCTCGCGCGGTATGCTCGTCTAAATTTCTTCTTCTTCCTCTTAGAATAAATACTAGGTGAGGCATCGCTTAAGACGCTTGCATGGCATAGAAAGTGGAGTTCCGGTGGTGTTTTCCATGGAGAGGCCGAAAGCAAAGCTGCTACCTGTGAATGGCGTCGATGGACAGGAAGGAAATCCTTCAGATTATCAAGTAAGTAGTTAGTGGTAAGTAGCTTGTATGCTATGTGAATATCGAGCTGACGATGAGCAGATAGTTCCAGGTTTTCGAGTTCGAATAATTCCCGTGCTCGGAACAATCCCAGCCATTTTTGGCCAAGTCATGGCCTCTTACACAATTGCGAAGCTTGCAGGGCTTCAAGTTGAAACAGAGCCCGTGGTTAATCTAGACGTGGAGCACTATGCTGTTCTTCATCGACGTCTGATTGAACGGGAAGAGCTGCTTTATGGAACAGCCGACGCTGTTGAGGTGAGCAGTTTCATGGCTTCTTGGCGCTGTTTCCTCCAAAGCTTGCATTTGAAGGTGGACAAGGAGGAAGTTGCCTATGTTGTCCGAGAGCTATGGCGTGGTAAAAGCGCAAGGAACCAGGATTCTCACGATGTTGGCAGAGGGATGTGGCGATCGGTGAATAAACTGACACTAACGAGGTTTGCATTTCGGTTCCAGTCTTACAGTTCCTTCAGCTCTTTGTGCAGATGGGATCACAAACAGCCTCCCAGTGTTTCGAACTTAATCCTGCTCACATTTCAAGAGGTACGGCGAAACTCGAGAGATTTTCTTTCTTTATTCATGTTTGTCCTTGCCTCAGGCCGAAAAACATGAGGCTTCAAGCGTTGAAGAAATCAAAGAGCAGGAACCAGCTTTCTACGCTATGGTGACAGAAACCCTTAATTGTGGAAAGAAAGAGTTTTAAAGGCAAAGCTGGCATTCTTTTTCTCGTGATGGAGAAACCTTCATTTATAGTAAATTTAAGGTGGAAAACTCAACTCTAGAAAATAAATTAGCATGCAGAAGTTTAAACCTTGCAAAAAAACAATTCCTCTAGTCCTTGCATGGCAATACTCTTTGACCCCATAGCTTCCATTTCTGTAGGAGAAAGTACATTAGAACTCATGAACTTCATAGATGACTGAACCTGGCTCAAAACTATCATTGTTTGCAGAGGAATGGCAAAGATCTACCTGAGAGGAGGGTCTGCAAGCGAAAGCAGACGACTCAGATGGACGAGGAAACTCTGGTATGAGTTTTTGGTAATTGCCTGCAAATGTTAGTTGGCTTACCTACTTTGAGCAGGACATATGTGAGGCATGATTGGGCTTGGAGTCATGTCCTCCATGTCACTCTCGAGCATTTGAAACTTCACCTTGTACTGAGGAAGATCTGGCAGTATCAACAGATCTTCATGCTCCCCTGTGGTCTTATTCACTTTCCTCCATGTATGGTAGTCAAAGCGAGCACAGTTGGCCTCTGATGTGACAAAATACAACCCTGCGACCTGTATCTGGTTTCGGTGAAGGGTACTTACCAGCATATAAACTGGGTGCCACACGACCAGGTCCTTCTTTGCCAAAGTTGAATGGAGGAGGTACGCAACTTTCCGCTTGAAGTCAATATACAAACTGTGGATGGCCGCCTCCGTTTGCAACCTCGGCCAGAAATAAGCTGACTTGGCTCGTTCCCTGGTATATTCCTCCACCTTGGCTGTCAGGTCCGTAAAATCCGAGTAGAAACAGACGTGAAGATCCTCCTCCTCATCGACCACCAGGTTTTGGACGGTGTTTGAAGCTCGAGCACGCTGGGTCCAAGGCACAATCTGCTCACAGTCCGTGAGGAACTTCGGAAACGTGAGGTGCATCAACAATTCCATGATTTCTCCTCGAAAGCCCCTGACTCGTCCCACCTCTCTATAGGAGATAACCATGCGGCGCCAGTGCTGGACGTCAAGTCTCAGAAGCAGCTGCTCCTTTATAAAGGTCGAACCAATCACCATGCAGTTTTTAATCGATTCTTCACCCCTATCTAAGTGGATGATCTTGTGGGATTTGCCTGTGCACCGTCCGACTAGGGTGAACATGTCAAGTAGATTTTTCTGGCTAGAGATCTCATCCTTTAAGCTGTGCAGAATAGAAGAAAACTGCCATCGTTTTACAAATACAAGCCTTGGAATGTAGCCAACATAATAAACATGGTGCCGAACATTAGACCAAGTAAGTTCATCCAGGAACACATGTGCGTGGCACTGCTTGAGTTCTTCTTCGCTCCACAAACGTCTATAAAAAAATTTATAGCCACTGGTAATCTTGGTAAACTCCTTATACACAGTCTTATCCGGGCTTGTGATGAATAGCGTGTTGGGATCCAGGAAAAACGTTGTGATGGGCTCACTGTCGTTTATGAAAATTGTCCGCTGGTCCATCAAGTACCTGTCAACCTCGGCTCTATCCCCCACAGAATCAAACTTTTTCTCTTTAAAGACTGCATAGCCGGTTCCCATTTTCTTTTCGTGGTACACAACAGTGTAACCCTTCTTCATGAAGGTGAACAGCAGCTGCAAGCCGATAACCGTCTTTCCTGTTCCTGGCTGTCCTATGAAGAGCGTCCAAAACGGGACAGGTGCCCCAAGTCCACGTCGGCCTTCCGCTTGCAGCTCACGAAGCTCATGAAGCTCACGAAGCTCGTCCTCTAATTCGTGAAAAAGCTCCACACAGTCCTGCCGAACATACAGAAGATTACTCCTTGGGACATCCCAGTAAGTCGTGTCCCCCAAGGTCGGTACGAAGAAACAGCCTGCTACGGGCTCGTCTCCAATACGTTTCATCCCGCCTGGGGTGTGCTCCACAAACTCCGACTTGTGAAAGTTCGCAAACAGCCTAACCAGAGCTGGAACACATAGCAATCAGGACGCAGTTCGAGAAAACTGTTAAGCGCTTACCATCGTCATTCGACATCTCTAGAGCCCTAAAAGAAATTTGGAATCTAAGGCAAATTTTGTCGGGGACGACGCTCCTCGTCCGCTGTGGCATGGTGGGACGTGCTGGAGATCTTCCATGAACTGCGACGATATACCGCCCGACGACGTCACATTCCTGGGAATTCCGGATCCCGGCGCTTGAAATCCGGATTCTTCTTCCCCATCCCTCTGCAAGACAATGGTGTTGATAAATTTCCACCGGCAGCCACGAATCGCGAAGAGATCGCCGACGCCGTGAGAGGATGCGTCGGCATGAAAAGCACCAATCTCTTCTCCTGGACATCACGAGCTCTTGCACAGCGGGCATCTAGAAGAAGCCAGGACCGCGTCCGATCAAATGCAACGCCGTGATCGCGGCGATGCCAGAGAGAGACACCAGCCTGATCCAAAGATATCTTCCACGACAGATGCCGAAGTGCCCACAATGCTTCAGTGTTCTCACAAAGCAAAGGTTTCAACAGTGCTAAGACGTGATGCCCGAGCAGAACATAGTCGCATGGAATGCGATCATCGCAACACTTTCCCGATGTGGGCATTTGGAGAAAGAAATGATTGCTTTTGACAAGATGCCCGTCTGGCAGCACTTTAGCTGCAATGCACCCAGCACTGCATACGCAGAAAAAGGATTTACTCGAAGCGAAAATAATGTTTGCGAGAATGCCACAGCAAGGAGTCGTCTCGTGGAATGTTCTCCTTGCAGAGCTCGAAATCCCAAGCGATTGTGGAATCGATGCCGGTGAGGAACATTGCTTCTAGGGATCCAAGATGAGACAAGTCTTTGCAGTGGATCGCAAGAAAGAAAGTTTACTTCTGTTTTGCAGGGGAGCTTAAACAGTGGTTTGACTTGACACGCTGAATCAGTAATCGAGGTCTTCTCGACGTTTGACTAGGTGGATCACAGTCCACAACACGGTAAAACAGGTCAGTCGTGTTGTCACAAACTAAAGAAGAATGTTTGATCAGTTCCGGGAACCTTCACTGAGACATATTTCTACAGGGGAATTGCAAAAAAAGATAGATTGTCTGACCGCGATGGTGGGCGGTGGTGGTGGTGGTAGTGGCGTGACCGCGCTCGTCACGCGGCAACACGGGCCGGTTCTAAGAAAGGTCAAGATTTTCACACCTTATTGTTGTTGAGTTTTCCATCTCCCCGCGTCCTTCTAAGCATCTATATAGGCTCCCTCGTTTCCTCCTGATTCTAACATCACTCATAGTCCGAAAACGTTTCGGTTTGTTTCTTCTCTGCGAACTTAGCAGCAGGAAGATCAAAGATGGCTTCAAAGAGTCTTCTCGCAGCACTGGCATTGCTATCGCTCCTACATTTTTCCTCTGCGGTGGAGTTCACAGTCGGCGATAGCAACGGATGGACTTTCCAAGTTAACTACACACAATGGGCTTCGTCGCAAACTTTTCGAGTAGGAGACATTCTCGGTAAGTGATAGTCCTCGTTTTCTAGTTCTCGAGCTAAAATTCTATCGACCGTGTCCTTGCAGTGTTTCCTTACACATCAATCCACGACGTTCGCGAAGTGAGTCAAGCCGACTACGATAGCTGCGATGGATCCAACGCCGTCACTACTTATGCCACCGCCAGTCCCATTCGCGTCACGCTCTCGAGGCCAGGAGCTCACTGGTTCCTGTGTGGAATTCCCGGCCACTGCGCAGCGGGGATGAGAGTTCCAATCAATGTTACTTTCACTGCTACTGCTCCAGCTCCATCGCCATCCGCGCGATCTGGCGGCAGGGCTCTCTCTCCAAGGAGCTCGCTCGCGACGTCACCCTCTCCATCGCCAACGAGCTCGCTCCCGGCTTCACCGTCACCGTCATCTCCATCGCCAAGCATCTCACTCGCACCTTCACCGTCACCATCACCACGGAGCTCGTCGGCATCATCGCCCTCACCGTCACCGTCATCTCCATCGCCAAGCATCTCACTCGCACCTTCACCGTCACCGTCACCACGGAGCTCGTTGGCATCATCGCCCTCACCGTCACCGTCAGCATCATCGTCTCCAGCGCCATCGACGACCGTGATCCCAGCTCCAGATCTTCCACCATCGCCACCAAGCTCTGATCTTCTTCCACCGGCGAGTATTCCAACCAATGCGCTTCCTCCGGCCTCTCCGCCCTCGAGCTCCGTGCAGCTGGTTTCCATCGGCTGGGGCCTCACCATAGCTGGATTGCTTCTTGCTCTCTAGAATAGAACCATTCCGTTTCAAATCCAATCGCTTTCCTTTTATTCCTTGTATTTTTTATAATTTTTTTGTAGCTACTAGTGAACGCAGAGATCTCGGACGATCATGTATACAAAGAAGTTTCTTCTTTCATGATTCATGGCGAGCTTCTAAGATCATCCATCACTATTGATAAAATATATTCTCATTCTTTTCTTGCACCAGGAGGCGTTCTTTCATACAAGAACTACTAGGAATTGGACACTGACGAGCAGAACTAAGGAAAGGAGGAGATAAAAACGAGGAAAAGAGGAAGGGGGTTGTATATCTTTATTTGGTAGCGCAAATCTTGGTTACATTCGCGGCCGTCCCTATGATCACCTGCAGCTCCTCCAATTCACCACCAGGGCTTAAACGCAAAAGCTATTGAATGATTGTTTAGTGCCTTGACACTGCTTGAGAGCGATGGAGTATGGCGTCCAGCCCCTGCTGGCATCCTTCTAGAATATTCTCCAGATGCCCATATGGTATAAAAAACGTATGGCAAGAGCCGTCTGATTTCAACATGTACATATGAATGACATTATAGATGGATTTCTATAATCCCACAGCGTTTTGATATAAGTTACGAAGAAAAATTCGGCGTAGAAAGCTTCTAAAACACCCAGTTTACATCCTAAAAAGCCTTCTTAGTAACTAATCCATGGTGAAACATGACGTTTTTTTCCCACAACGAAATGCACAAGACCATTGAGTTGGTTTAATCATGCCTTTTGAACCATCGTGAAATGAGGGGTGTCGATCACAATTGATGGCTCCATCTTCTGTGGATTCCACCGTGAAAATGGAGCTAACACATCGGACTTGCAAAAAAACTTGAAGTGTTGATGGGTTAACAGCCTCCACCACAAGCTCAAGAAGCAAGAGGACAATGAGCCATAAGCAGCTTTCTTCTTGTCTGGCAAGTAGGTGGGAGCTTGAGGCTGTCACAGTGTAGCAAACTGCTAGGGTTTGTGGCATGATGGGACTAGGAGCTCAAGAGGTATGTTCGACAATTTGTCTTCAAAGGGAGATTATTCTTTCTCCCCAACATGGAATTTGCAGCACTCCCTTCCACAGGATCTCATGATACCACTCCAGCTCTGGCTCGGTGAGACAGCAGCTGCTGGGGACGGCAGGAGTGCCTCAGGAGCTCATGGATGGACCCTTTGCTGACGACACCACCCTCTTTCTGGTTGCTAAGAACCTGGATGGAAATTGGAAATATTGGAACAAGTCCGTTGGGATCAATTGGGGAAAGCTAGGGATTGAATCATGGGGCTGAAGTGAGTTTCTACCTGAATCCCCAGGTATTGGTGCTCTCGCACTGCAGGATGAAATGCTGCTCAAGAGGTTAGAATGGCAATCCAGAAATGGTCATCTAGGAAGCTTGGACTTCCAACAGCTAAGTGCATCATTCTCCCCAGTATATGGTACCACATTTCTATCTGGCCACCACACTTAGAAAAGTAAAAAGCATGGTGCACACTTATGTTGTAGGGTGGACAAAGGTACTGTGGCATTCTTGCAGCATGTCCATAAGTGTTGGGAGGGTACCCATCATTGACTTAAAGTTAAAAGCTATCAGCTCAATCTCTGAAAGAAATTAGCAACTAAGACACTAAAAGGAGAAAATAATTGTTTTTGGCTTAAAAAGAAGGAAAACTCAAAAAGTCCTTAAAATTCAAGCATAACATTTAGAATTTTGCATTTGGGCACACATGTTTTTGCTTTTAGGATCTTTCTAATACTGGTGTTATCACCACAATGTAAATCTTTCACAAATTCACCCCAAAACCCAAGAAACTAAAGAATAAAGGGGAGGATTGATTAGAAAGTAATCCTCCTTAGTGGAGTCACCAAATGTTGACAGCGGATTTTTTCAACAAATGAGGAAAACACTTTCTTATGCTCTAAAATCAAGTTTAAACATCTCTTTTTGAACTTTGGAGAAAGGGGTATATCCCCCATTAGAATATCCTCACAGCCTCAACAATAGAATATTCTAAAGAATCTCACTCTTTTGTTATATATATTCTAATGTTAGAGTTTAAAAGCCTTTCCACTAGGTCCCATTAACCTCTAGGACTTCAAAGGCCTTTCCACTAGGTCCCATTAACCTCTAGGACTTCTTCACCATGTAACTATATATTTATTATTCAATCTTGGATTTGATCTTATATTTAGTCTCAAACACAGTCTTGGACTTAATCTTGAACTCATTCTCAAACTTGGTCTCAAATTAGATCTCAGACTTTATCATAAATTCAATCTTGAACTCGATTTTAGACTTGGTCTTGGACTTAACACTTCCATAGGTTACAACACTTGCCATGTATTAATTCTTTTTTTATCCCTTTCTAGAAACTCATTTATCAATCACTTCATGCTTGTTTTTCAAACACTTCTTTGCACTTTTGATTTTTTGAGTTGGAGTTTTGTATTACGCTCATTAAACTTCCATTTTGGCCACTATCACATTGTTCACCTTTGGCTCTACTTTAGGACTTAAGGATTTGTGTCTTACAAATCACCCATAGATGAAATTTAATATCTTTATTAAATGATAACTTATTTTCTAAAGTAAGTCCATTATAAATTACTATTTGTTAATGGTTCAACACCAAAGGCTCATCATACCTTGCATATCCTTTAAAGAGCATAGACCCCTTAATTTAGGGACTCATTGAATCACTTGTGATGGTTTTTTCACTTTCTTAGTTTAGATCCCGCTAAACTTATTAGAAACACCTTTTATATCTTAATCTTGTTACTCATTCTAGAGTAATCTTAAACTATATCAATGTATGGATTGTCATTTGGAATTTTAATATAGACTTTTTATCCCAATTTGTAAGTGTCTTCAACACTTCCATTAGACATTTTTGTTGTGCAAACTCTACTTTCTTATCCTAAGGAGTTTTTTACTTGAGGACATCATATTTTTTCTTTTATCTCGTAAGTTCCACTTATCCATAATTTATATTAGAGCTACTCATGGCTCTATCATTTAGCTATATTGCCACTTCATCTTTGGAGTTTTCAAATTTCACAAAATTAAAGGACTTGGGAATGCCATCCCTTAAAATTCTATTACCTTTCCTAATCCATTAGCATCCATCTTATGTTGGTTGTTTGCCTAACTCATAATTTAGAATCACTTTAACAATTCCCAAAGTTTTATTGGCCATTGGTATTTTGCTCCTATCTTTTAATTGTTGCATCAAATAATATAGGATTGCTACTTCCATATTTGGGGTATCATTTTTATTTCATAACAAAGGCTCTACTTTGGCATATTCACCCCTAGTAACTCTTATCATCATTTTCCATTGTGGATATAATTATAGCCCAATTTTGTAACCAAGAACCTTAATCAATTGAGCTTCTAGGTAGATAGGTAGGAAATATTTTCATGGTGGAGCTGCATAGCCACGCCTTCCATGCAGATTCCTTAGTGGCTAAGCATGTCACAATTAGGCTTCCATTCCTTGCCATTGTAGCATTCACAATTCTTGTGATTGGGCATCTTGTGAAATGGAGAAATCCCGGTAGGCATTCTTGCCCTCTTTTCCTTCTCACTTCCTCCTTTATGCATGCCTTAAATCTTCTCCTTAACGTGTGGCCTACGACATGCTAGTGAAGAATGCCGATAGCCTCTAACTCTTCTTAGTGATTAAGCTTGTGGAATTTTCCTTGAAGATTATTTTCTTGGACTCATAATACCATTATATTGTCATAGATCATTTCACCTTAGGTCCACTTAATCACCAACCATTACCAATTGTTCAAATCATTACTATAAATTAGAAAATATGTTCCTTAACCTAATAAAGAACTTATTCTTGATTAGCAATAAGATCATCTAGTGATCCCATATAGATTTCTCATGAGTTGTTGACTAACTACAAGAGCATCCCCCATACTTAGCAAGTCAACCCTTTTAACCAAAGGTTTGTAACAACCAGGATTGTGTGTCTCCATCCTATTTACCACATTTTTCTATTGAACTTTCATACTAAATATATTAACTATGTCCTTTATTTTTAAGGTAGCCTCTTTATTAAGAATCGTGTTATTATATTCCAAACTAAATGCCTTCCAAGCATTAAAAGGTTGAGATTTTAAACCCAACCTCCACATATGCCTCTACAAAATATCACACAAGATGGTTAGTGTAACTCTTTATATCAGTGTACCAAACTTATATCAATACTAATTAATGTTTCTTTCATATACCCAGACTCTAGGGGGTCCCTGTAGAATAAGGACTCTAGCAAAACCAATATGACTAGGGAATGCTAGTGTGACCGAAAAAGGCTATATTCATATGGTGGATGATGATACAAATATTTAAGAGTTTAATATAGATAACAAATGAAATGATTTAATAAAATGTTTAAAAGCCAATTATAGCTCCTCCAAAAGATGAAATAGTCCAAGTGTGGGTAACATTACCTATTTGGATACTTTAATAGTTTATTAAAACCCCACTCTAGCCATATAGCCAACTCTCAATGCAAAGAGATCTTGCTATTGTCTAGCCAGTGTTGGAAGACCAAGTAGTTGTCATTGGCAAGGACAGCACAAGCACTTGGTGCTGACTTTACTCTTGGCTCAGTATTCACCACCTAGGACAGAACGTCATGGGCATCTGGGAACACTACAGCTTCTTTGCCTTCACTCTCATGTTCCTGCTCACGTCCACCAGTGAGTCACTGCCGATGTTTCTTGTGGAGCACCAGGTCCTCAAGTGTGAAACTTCTAGGGGAACATACAGGGTCTCGTCATATGTGATTGCCAACATGGTCATGTTCTGCTTATGCTTTCTTCTTTCGTCTTCTCGCTCCTGTATACATACAGTACTGGCCGAGTCTGGCCTAGAGCATTTCAGCAAGTGGATGAACCTGGGCGTTACGGCAATTTTCGTTATCGTCTACAGACTTCATGCTTACCTTGTACTTCGGTTTAAGCACCGGCATGAACAACAGTAGTTAAGTCAATAAGAATGAAGTACTTCCAACGTACCTGTTAGTAACGGATCTTCTCTGTTTAATTGTTTATCTGTCAAGCAAGGAGCAAGTGTCCGAAACTTTCAAAGTTCATGATGGCATAATCCCACGATCCCAGGCTTTTGCTTTCTCACTCAACCCCAGAAACACCTGTTAGAGATGCATTGAAGAAACAGTTGCTGTCAGGCTGCCTTAAATTAACTGCAGTTAACACAAAGATTGCCTGATCAGAGAATGTCCGTAATGAAAAAACTAAATTTGCCGTACAGCAGGAGCAGCCGAAACTCGATCAACCAAATGCTCGAGCAATTATATAACTTTTCATCCGGAAACTTTATTTAACCTGGAACGGTTACTGTACAAAGAGCAACGTCTACACGATGGCATCTCCCGTTCAATAATCATTGCCCTTGGACAATACCTCTTTGCACGTTGGCCGAAGTAGGACCGTGTGCTCAAATTGAGCAACGTAGCTACCCTTGATATCGCATACGGGTGGACATGGCTGTAAGAAATCACGTACTTAGTGACAGCATAACCATAAGGAAAACGTCGACTTACCTGGACAATGCCAGCGTCACACAGATTTTTCAAAGCCATCAAGTATTTCGTCTCACCCAGCCTATCCAGATACCGACGACAAAAAGCCAGCGTTGAAAAGTTTTTGTCGATGGTTGCCAGCAGCTGCTTTGCCCGTGGCAGCCTCAAAGGAACATGACCGACGTCAAAATCCTTCATGTAGTGACTGCATTCTAAATCTTCTCTCACATAGCCTTTCCCTGCAAAAACAGTTGTCGACAAAGTACGGCAACCAACTAAAATTGCAAACCAGTGGAGCCAAAAGTCTCGATGGCATAAAATTCTCCTTCCATTTTTGTTTGTTCTCCTCCTTTGACAGTAGGAACAGATTTAGCTGCATGTATTTGATATTGTCCTATGCTGTGACCATTCAAATTTCTTATACTTTTCACTGTACATTCAAAATAAAATTGTTATACGAAACATAAGACATGAACGTTTACCTTGAAAAGTTTTGCCATTTATCTCAACTTCATAAGACTCCATTACCTCTTGAATAGCAGCGCCAACGTCACAAAGCCTCACATCGATACCCGTTTCCTAGAAATGCACGTTAAATGAAGGATAAATTTGCAAATACGTACCCGAATACCAGTGTTCGTTGCTTCTCGCGCAGCCTCCAAAAGAGGATCGAACATGGGATTGAAGGCAAGTGTAAATGCGGAATCGATTATACGCCCTGAATAATACATTTGAAAACTTAGGTTTTGCAAAAAGAAAAACAAAAAGAAACAAACCTTCGATATGCGTTCCGAAATCCAGCTTCATAACATCATCGTACTGAAGTACTGTTTTGTCTCCAGCATTTGGTGTCCAGTGCGCAGCTACCCTGAGCCACAAAAATATTTACAAAATTTTATCAAGATAATATGCGCAGTACCAATTTAAAGAGCAGCCAGTTGGAAATGCAATTCCCGCATGCAATCCATTTTCAGATATAAGTTTTCGCACCATGTTTTCTAGTGTTTCGCAAATATCGACCATTGCAACTCCGGGCTTTGCGTACTTGCGAATGTAATTCCGCACCTAGCATATGGAAGGGAAGAAATTTTAAAATTTTGCATCGCATTTTTATTTTTTTTTTAAAAAAAAGGTACCTGACGATGAACTTCTGCGGCTTGACGAACTTCATTATATATGGGCTTCTCTAGCCTTTCCAATTCTCTTTTTTCTTCCGATGTTTCTCTCCAGAGGTTGCTGTCACGTAGAAGAACACGAAGACCGCATAAATCATTAGTGAGGAAGTCAGTCGATTGTCTTACTCATCCTTGTAGTGCTGTATCTCTCCGACTGGAAACTCTCCGGATGGGAAGAGATCAGCTACAGCCACTGATGGAGGATCTGCCTGCTCAGTCGCTGCTTTCTTCTTCCTGATAAAATGTTTAAGCATCAGTAAACAAACACCCCAGTGTAGTGATTTAACGTACTTGGATTTCTTCTTCTTCTTCTTTGTTGCTTCAGCTGAAAGCGAAGAGAAAGTGAAAAAGGAGTGAGCTCGGAGCTTTCCTTACCGGATTCATTTTCGGGCTGATTCTCATCTTCGTCGTCTTCCTTATCACCAGCTAGAGCAGCGACAACGGCAGCAGCACCGCTCTTCTTCTTCTTCTTCTTCTTTTTCTTGGCTGCGACGGCATCCTGCGCCAAAATATCGCATCAAAATCCAAGAAACAACGCACAGGATTTGGCATACCGGTCCAGCGCCTGGATCCACGACCTCCTCAGCAGCATCGTCTGGCGCATTCTCATCCCCCATTGCCGGCCTAAAACCTAAGATTGAGGTCAACAAAATAAGGTGTTTATATGAGCCACGGCAAAGCACCCGCATTTCTCTCTCATGACCGTTGCCATTAGAATTGACGAAAGAAGGCATCAACGGCCGGGATTCGGTTCTTTCCACTCGACGGACCGCCGCGATGCTGCCAAGTCGACAAAAGCGACGAAGAGCCAGAAAGGGCATGGTCACACGAAGCTCTTAGCGAGGGATTAGGGTATTGGCGCAGGGCTAGCGTGGGAGCGCCGAGGCTTCGGTACCGCCGGAGCTCTGTTTTTTCGTCGGCATTCCATTGCCAGATCTCGAGCGATCACTCGCTGGAACAAGAAATGGCTCCGATCGTCTGCTTGCGCATCGAAAGTACTCTATGAGTCTCACATTGCCCGATTCAGGGTTTTGCTTGATCCTGGGGGGGATTTTAATGGGACATGGCAATGCTGGTGCGCTGGAGCTTGAAAAGCAGGCAGGATTCTGGGGAAGATAGTTCTCGGCGATTTTAGGACAGGTGTAATCTTGCAGCCATGGACGATGTTGCGATCATTCGGGAGATTTTGACTGTCACCCATGTACCAGTCGTAGCGCAGTTGCAGTGGAGAAGTCTTTTGCGATCTGTCTGCGATCGACTCACAGCTCATGTAAGTTGTAGCTCCATTGAGAACAGAGGAGAGAAATTGATTTTAACCATCGCTACCACAGACAGCACGGCTTGAGAAAGCTGAGGAGCTCGCCAAAAATTTTCAAGCTTTCAAGGAGGGGATTTACGAAGTCTGGTATGAAATTTGACCCGTTTTCTTTTCTGTTTTTTCTTTCCCTGACGCGACGCAATGCAGTAAAAACACGGCTAAAGAGTGCAAAGATTTCACCGAGGTCGAGGTCCAAAAGCAGGCTGAGAAGCTCGATACGCATGCTAAAGTCACTGGAGATCGTATCAACGCTGTTCAAAAAGGCTATGCTTCGTACTTGGTGAGTGGAACTTGACAGAAGCTTTCATTGCAAAATGGAAGAAAATTCCGTAAGCATCAAGACAGTGACTGGGGATTTGGCAGAATTGAAGGCAGCCGTCGAGTCTCTTCCCAAAAGAGTTGAAGATTTAGAGGGAGGAGTCCAGAACTTGACTGCGGTCAGTTCAGAGCTGCAAACCAAAGTCAAGGAGCAGGACGAAACAATAAGGAAACTGGGTGAAAACTTCCAGTCACAGTTTGAGCAGCATGTAGTGGAAATGACAGGGGCAGTGCGAGTTATGACAGAAGAAATAGAGTCTTTACAAGCTGATGTTCTGGACCAGTGGAAGGCTGCAAAGTTTGGAAAATCAAGTATTCACGGGTACAACGGGGTTACTGCTTCAGGTAAACTGTGTTGTTGCGGGTAAACTATGTTGTTGTTGGGCAGGCAGGCCTAATCGAGGAGGACCTGGTTGTGCTTGATCCTGCCGCTGCCCCTGTCGGTTCGGGTTGTAAGTGGGGCGATAGTATTGGTATCCACCTTGGTTGTAGCCGCCTTGTCGATTGTAGAAATCACGATTGTTGTAATTGTAGTCGTGGTTGTTGTAGTAGTTGTAATCGCGAGGAGGTCTGTTGTAGCGATCATCCTGATAGTAGTCGCGACGAGGTGGGCCATTCCATGGACGTGGATAGTAGTTTTGCCGAGGTGGTGGTCCTCTCCTCTCGTTCTTGTACGGCGGTGGTGGACCTGCTGGTAATACATGCAACGGTCGTTGAAACCCATTTGTCGAGGTGGTCGAGGAGGAGGAGGTTGAAAAGTAGAAACTAGATTAACTTGAGGGGCTGGGTTAGAACGGTATGCCTTTGCATCATGACCATTTGTCCTGCAAAGTTGACATGTAGCAAGTTGAAGCTTGCATTGATGAGCTGAGTGTCCCTCATTCTTGCAAGTTGTGCACCATACGCCTGTGCGTAGATTGGATTCGTCAGCAAGAGCTTCGGCATTGAGCTTCTTGACAAGCCTGTCCTGTTTAGTGTTCTCCTTCAACCGTCTGTGTGAGGGAGTGTCATCATCATCACTACTGGTGTCGCCATCGCCAAAGCTGGCGTTTTTCTTGCGGAGTTCCACCGTCGTCATACGGTCAGCGACATCGGTGTACTTGGTTTCCGCAAGGAAGGCTGCCGCCTTGCGAAGACTCTTGCGAAGGCCTTGAATGTACCATCGTGTAAGAAGACTATCGATTGGTTTCGTTGGAAGTTTGTTGACGTATTTGGTGTAGCGAATGCTGTAGTCGGAAACGTCTTCATTCGATTTCTGCCTGATAGTCTGCAGTTTGTCGAGGTACTGCTCCTCTGTGGTAGCTGACTTGAACTCGGTTTGAAAGTCTTGGTAGAGTTCATCAATGATCCTGGATGATGGTTGCTGGCTGTACCAGTCCAAGGCACGTCCTTTGAGTGTGTAGCCGAAAATGTTGCGGGCGTTGTGTTCATCGCCATTGGTGACGACAACTCCTTTGAAGAAATGTGCGTGTTTCTCTGGACTTTCCTCCCGAAGACCACTGAATGCGGGGTAGGAGATGACTGTGCCAATGGCAGTACCGGGTATATAGAGTGTCATCGTGCCTAATCGTGGGGAAGGAGGTTGTATTTCACCAAAAAGAGCTGCTAGATCGCTGCCTGAAACTTGTGTGTCGAGGCCAGAAGAATGAGTCTTGGCCTGATGTTGAAGGTGTGCCTGATTGTTGTCAGGCAAAGGTTGATTGTCAGGCGAGTCTTGAATGTAGAGCAAAGGTCGTAAATCAGGCGCTGCTTGATAGTCGCCAAAGATATTGTCTGGCTCGGGTGTTGATGGAGAATTGTGGTGATGATCTAATGTAAATGTTGTTGGCGATTCGTGGTCGCGATGATTGAAGAAGTCCAATGCTATGTCGGAAGTGGTCTGGTTGCTGGGGTTGCCTAAGAGTTGTGTCCTCCAATTGCTGATGACGTTACTCCACTCAATACTATGAGCGAAGCGATTTTGTTGTAATTCAGCGTCGGCAGTAACAGGTGCTGATGAAGGTGTTGAGTAGGCAGAAGGCTGTGCTGGTGCACTCAGCGAAGGATGAATTGCCGATTGTGGTGTGTGCCAGGTCGAAGTCTCTGGCTGTCGTTGCTCTTGATGAATTGTTTGCTGGGGCGGCGGTGTAGTAACCGTCACGGAGTCAAACGGGCTCGGTGGAGTCTCTCTTGGAGGAGCGAAGTAACTGTTGATCAAGTCTTTGATGTGTGCAGCATTGTCGGTTGTTAGTTGCCACCGTAAAAGCTGCCTGATTTCAAGTTCTCATTGGGTCGGGGGTATGTTTCGTCCCTCTAACCGTTGTTGTTGCTCCCGCGTGTGCTCGAGGTTGCGGAGCTCCCGGGCAAAGTATCTCTGGGAACGCTCTATGTTCTGTATCCTCTTTGTCTGGATGTCGTGTCCATACATACGATCATGTGTCGCATGCTGCTTGTCAACGGTTGATGATTGTTAGTGATGTAAATTCAAGTATTAATTAAAAGAAAAACAAATCAGGGAAAATCAGGCAGAGGAAGGAATTCCTGCTTGACATCCTGGCAAGATGGAGTAGAAACTGATGCATTCGTTGCAGAGGAGGCGCTAGTGGGAGTCCATGGGAAGACTGGGCTACAAACTCGCCACATCAAGCCTGAGCATCGTCAGCAAGTGCAGCTTGTTGCAGACATATTGGAGCTCCGCGTTTCTCACATACTTCTGCTAGTATGATCTTGTCAGTTATGTACGTCGAGCTCAACAACAACAAACCCCCTAAACCTCGCAGCGTATCTTCACACCAAGCTTCATGTTACGCTTTGCGAGCTCTACAACAAGTAGAAGGATCGCAAGCCTGCTTCAACTCGAATTTTTCCGATTCTGCAGCGACTTCATCAATACAATCTTCTGCAAAATCTCGTTTTGCATCGACTGCCTCTACAGACTGCTGTTGTGAATCCCGATGGCAGCTTTACCGTCGTTGCCCCTTCGCCATCATCTTCGACACGTCGCCGCAAGGAGCGCGCGAAGAAGGCACAGGAAGATCCTCTGCTATCAAAAGCCCGCGAAGCCAGGCAGCACCGACGACCAACGTCTCCAGTTGTCATCGAGCACGATGGCTCCGACAGCGAACCAATTCCTGCGTCTTCATCACAGCTTCACGTGCACCCGAGCAGCATTCCTTCTGCCCCAACAATTCGTCAGGCAGCGCCAGCGCAGGCGCAGCAGCATCAGGCGCCTTGCCTAACGCCTGACCCAACGCCCACTCCGTCATCGACTCATCAGGCGCTCCATCAGGCCGTGCCACTGCCACCTAATTATCCAACTGCTCTGGCAGGGGGATGGTCCAAAGTTGAGTTGAGCTCACGAGTTGAGCTCAATTCAGCTCAAGTCAATGCTAGTCAACATAGTCAACCATAAGTTTTATAAGGAAATATTAAGTCAGAAAAATGTTATTCTTTGGTGAACTTGAAATTTATGAGTTTAAGTATCAATGGTTCAGAGAGATTTTTATTTTTTGAATCTTTCTAATGCAGTTTATACAATTTCTAGAATTAGAAGTTCGTCTAAACCCATAGAAATTTTTGGGCTTTATTGGTCCCAAATAAAATGGAAATATTGAAGTTCGAATGAACCGGAAAATTTCTATTGTACATTTCAACATTTTAACATTTCAACAATTGACCAGAAATATATAAATAATTCGAAACACTGATTCACTTGTTCATTCTTTAGGGTTTACAGAGATGGGAAGCAAGGAAGACAAAAAATCTGTAAGTAGTTCTAGTATACAGAAATGTGAGAATGTGAATTTTGTTTCACTACCACAATCTCCATATTACACGCCTGGTCCTTATTACCCATCCAGGAATGTGGAGACCACTGTCACTATTGATAAAAATGCTCCTGTTACTTCCGAAACAACAATCCAGAGCAAGAGAAAAGAAGAAATGGACAGCACAGCGGAAAGCACTAATAAATCCACTCTATAAACCTTTCAATGGCTTTTGTAATTCACTAAAATATTATAAAAAAATGTAAGTTTTTTATATATATCTTATTCCTTTTGATATGTTTTGTCTTTGCAAAGATATATGATGTAGACAAATCAAAGAATTAAATCTATATATGATTTTGGGATTGAAAGGTAATCTTGCAAAAAGGCATACTCGCGTGCCTGTGTATATTCGCTATTATTATATATGGCAGGCCAACTATATAAAATAAAGCTACATATTAATTATATGCTAGTTTTTAGCTTCTGAAACCCTATAGCCACTTGTTTCTCATAGTAGGTTGTAATTACTAAGACTGACAATTATCATTCACTATAGTGTCATGTCATAATAAAACATCATTCCCGAGATTGAAATATAGTATATTAATGAGAGAATTCTTATTGCTAGGAAATTTAATTCTTCTTGTGTGTTGCAATGGTTAGGAAGAAGTTTACTTTTGGTCCCGAAGGCCTCTCATATGAGTCTCCACCTCCATCTCCAATCTCAACCAATAATCCACCTTCACCTCTACGCAACAATCCTCCTTTTCATTTTGAGGGCTGTTGTGAGGCTTTTCCATTTGCGACCTCGAGTGCAACTGAACAAAAACTCCTTCCTTATGATGTTGTTAAAAAAGTTGGATTGCCTCCAATGCTTCAAGAGCGATGTCAATATTTTCTTCAAGATCTTGCTCCAGATATGGCAGGGGAGCTTAATGTAGATACATATTATCTTCAGTGTCCTATATGCAACTTTTATTTAAACAAGACAGATGGTTGCATGGGTTTGGTAAATTTTATTAAGCATTGTCGCAAATGCCCAAGAGCGGGTTTGGAAGGTGTGCACACGTGGATGTATAAGAAAATCAAGAAAAAATTAAAAACACACAGCTATTATGATTTCATGGTGGAGAACAATATTCCATTGGTGAACACTGCATCAGTAAATGCTGAATATGGGATATTTAGGCCACCCTTTAATGTAATGTGAAAGTCATGCATAGTTTTTCAAAAGGTTAATTCTTTATGAGTAAAGTGGAGAATCTTATATTTTCGAGAATGATATTATTCTAGCATGTATAAAGATATTATTATATATACAAGTGGTTCTGACATTGTTATAATTCTGAAGTCCCATTTTTGAGATTGACAATTTAAACTTTCAAGAACCCCTAGATCTTTTCTTAGTATAAATACCAACAAGGGGTGCTTTCAACATTGAAATTTCAGTTTGTTTAGAGTGTAGGAATGGCTAGGGAAAATGCTATTGCTACTCGCACTTGGCCCCCATGCATTTCATATGAGTCTCCACCTCCGTCTCCAACTTCTACCAACATTCCACCCTTCCCTCCATACATCAATCGTTGTGAGGCCTTTTCTTTTGTAGCCCCAAGTGTGACTGAACAAGAGATCCCTCTTCCAGATAATGTTCTAGATGTTGCTACTAAAGATGGATTGCCTCATGTGCTTCAAGAGCGATGCCAAATGTTTCTTCAAGATCTTGCTCCCGATATGGTTGAAACTTTTGAAAGAATGAACACATATTATCTCCAGTGTCCCATCTGCTACTTTTATTT